TGGGTTTTCCTGCTGGGGCTGGCTTCAAACTATGATCCTCAGATCTCAGCCTCCTGAGTAGCTAGGATTGCAGGCGTGTGCCACTGGTTTCCTTTTTTTTTTAACCAGCTTTCAGGCATTCATTCCTTGTAATCAGTGGCAAAGATTTTTGCTTTCTCTGCTGCTTGAAAACTAGGTTTATTTACATGTGTTTTGGTTTTTTAAGCTTTTAAGACATGGCACTATATTTCTAGTACTCTCCTAGGACGTGCTGTTTTGATTTGTCCATGCTGATTTTTACTATAGTTCATTTATTAGCATAGGTATGCAGAATTGTACTGTGGCTGGGCACCAGTGGCTCACGCCTGTAATCCTAGCCACTCAGGAGGCTGAGATCTGAGGATCTCGGTTCAAAGCCAGCCTGGGCAGGAATGTCAAGGAAACTCTTATCTCCATTAAACCACCAGAAAACTGGAAGTGGCACTGTAGTTCAAGTGATAGAGCACTAGCCTTGAGCTGAAGAGCTGAGGGACAGTGCTCAGGCCCAGGGTTAAAGCCCCACAACTGACCAAAAAAAAAAAAAAAAAGAATTGTACTGTGAATATGTACTAATGTGTATGCATTTTCCTATGGCTGCATATTTGTTTTTTTTCCTAGACCTTTATAAATAGAAATTTTGATGCTAGAAACATTCTTGCTAAGTCTTCTAGAGCAAAGTTTTAATGAAGTGACAATATAGCAGCAGGATGCAGAATATGCTGCCTTTTTCAAAACATTAATTTTTTTCTAAATATGGCATATGGGTTTACACTCCCAACAGTTGTTTTCATTATTTTCTCTCTCTCTCTCTCTCTTCCAGTCCTGGGGCTTGAACTCAGGGCCCGGGCACTGCCCCTGAGTTCCTGTTTGCTCAAAGCATTCTATCACTTGAGCCACAGCACCATTTCCAACTTTTTTGTGTGTATGTGGTCCTGAGGTATTGAACCCAAGGCTTCATGCACACTAGGCAAGCACCTACCACTGAGCCACATTCCCAGCCTTATTATGCATTATCTTTCATTGTCTGTAAATTCCTTGGTATTTGATAATTTAATGGATTTAAAAGTGATAAACCATCATGGCTTCATTTACAGTCCCCCATTTTGTTAGTCTAAAATTATTTTATGAAAACGTATTAGTTGACTATATTAATAGGGTTCACTGTGCTGTTTCCATATATGTATATGGTATGCACTGATCAAGTCATTTAGCTTATGTTATTTTTAGGTCCATATTTGGGGTATTTATCTATCTGTGTCTGCCTAATTTCATTGAACAGAATATCTTCCCATTACATGCAAATGACAAAATTCTCTTCAATCATAGTTGAGTCCATTGTTGCCTGTATGTATATATGTTAAGTATAACATTTTTACTCCATTTTTTGTTGATGGGCACCTACACTGATTGCATATCTTAGCTGTTATGTGTATGTATGGATATGTTGATTGCATATCCTCGTGGATATATACCTGGAAATGTGATAGCTAGATTATGTGAGTGAGCTACAGTGAGTGAGTGCGTGAGTGAGTGCGTGAGTGAGTGAGTGATTTGGTTGGTTGGTTGGTTGGTCCATCGGTCATGGAGGTTGCTTGAACTCAGGGCCTGAGCTTCTAGACTATATGGTAGACTGTCTGTCTGTCTGTCTGTCTGTCTATCTATCTATCTACCTATTTGGTTGATCATGGGGGCTTGCTTAAACTCAGGCCTGGGCTCTGTCCTTGAGCTTTTTCACTCAAAACTAGTGCTCTACCACTTTGTGCCACGGTGCCACGTCCAGTTTTCAGGTAGTTAATTGGTCTCATGAACTTTCTTGTCTTGGCTTGCTTGGAACCAAAATCCTCAGATTTTAGCCTCCTGAGTAGCTAGGATGACAGATGTGCGCCACTGGCGCCTGGCTGGTAGGTATTTTTTTAAGGAACTTCAGAAATTTACATTGCCATCAAGAATATAAAATGAATTCTCTGAGAATCATAGGTAGAAGGATCTTGATTTGTTTCTGGCCCTTGGCAAAAACCTGATAACGCTATCTTAATAAAGTGGTAGGCTATCTGCCCAGCAAGTACAAGGTTCTGAGTTCAAAATGCCAGTACTGACAACGGCCTACCCCTATCCCGCCCCCCCCCAAAAAAAGAAAATTCCTTTTCCTCACATTTTTGCTGGGGGGTTGGGGTTTTTGTTTGTTTTGTGGCTTGTATGCTGTTCCTTAGCTTTTAAGCTCAAGGTTGGTGCTTTATTACTTGAGTCGCAGTTCCAGTTTCAGCTTTTTGTTGATTAACTGTAGATAAGAGTCTCATGGACTTTCCTGCCTGGACTGGCATTGAACTACAGTCCTCATATCTCAGCCTTCTGAGTAGCTAGACAAGCTCCAGTGCCGATCTTGGGTTTTTGGTAGTAGCCATTTTAACTAAAGAGATAGAATCTCTGATGGCTAATGATACTGAGCATTTTTTCATGTTGGTTGACCATTTGCATTTCTTCTTTTGAAAGTGTGTTTAGATCATTTGCCCACTTTTAAATTTAGTCATTTGTTTCTTGTTTTAGTTCTTATGCATTCTGGATATCAGCTCCCTGAAAGATGAATCAGTGGTATATATTTTCTTTTTATTATTTTTAGCTTTTACAACAAAGCAAGGATTTAATGAGCCTGAGAATTTCACAACCATTGATATAGAATTTGAGATTCCAAAACAGTTTACATATATCAAGAACACTATACTATTCTGTTCATATACATTCATCCCCTTTCAAAACTCCATTAATATTGAGGTGCAAAGATCTTGGACAAAAACCAAGAGAAAGAAAACCCATAACCTGATTTTTACTAATGAGCTTGTTCAGTTAAATAAGTTATTCCACTTTTAAGAATTCCTGGTTTGGGGGCTGGGAAGGTGGCTCAGTGGTAGAGCGCTTGCCTTGCATGCCTGAGGCCCTGGGTTC